GAATTTTAGACGGGTGGCAAAGCCTAACGTGCCCACCCACCACTTACGTGGATTTTAGAAAAGCGGCAAAGGATAACGTGCACACTTACCACTCACGTGGATTTTAGAAGGTGCGCAATGAGCACTCTTAGGGTTCTATTGTCACCCGGGGCTCTGTCCGGGGATTTTTTGACCGGACCATCAGTCAGGCGGTTACTATGATCTAGCCATAGAACCACCAACAACATCATGGGCCCAGTAGGAGACTGTTTGAAAAATGTTTTACAGCTAACCTCGGTCAGCTGGAGATGGTGGTCATAAAAAGGGAATTGGAAAAAGGGGAGGACAGGGTAGATGTTGCACCCCCTGCGGGAGAGAGTGAATACCTAAGTATTACTCTGACCCGGACGAAAGCGCTGGCGCCTTGCCCAGGTCTCACCCCTCGGGTTTCGCCTGCCTCCCCTTGACCCACGATACTTCCTACCCCCACCCACAGGTGGAGGCGGGGCGCGAGTCGCGACACTAGCCCTCTGTGCCCGTCTCTGATCCTCAAACCGAGACGGGCCAGGACCCCTGGTTTGTTCGGGCTCAGACCTGGGCCTTCGTGGTATGAAGGACTTGAACGCTGCTGAGCGCGACTTCGCCTCCCTGAATTTGTCGACCACCGTCTCAACGGAGGTGCCAAACAGTTCAGAGGGCGAAACCAGGGCATCGAGAAGAAAGCCCCTTTCTTTCTTCCCGATGTCCGCCAAGTTCACCCACAACTGCCGCTCCGTCACCACCATAGCAGCCATCGCTCTGCCCATGGCAGAGGCTGCCTGCTTAGTAGCCCGGAGGGCCAAGTCTGTGGTGCGCCGCAGCTCAGCCGTTTCGCCAGAGGAAAGGCCCTGCCCCTCATCCAGGTCCTTCAGCAGGTCAGCCTGGTATGCCTGAAGCACCGCCATCGTGTGCAACGAAGCCACCGCCTGACCTGCCGCTGCGTATGCCTTGCCGTTCGTGCGAGATGTGGCTTGAAGGGGCACGGATGGCAAGGAGGGAGTTTTGAGGGATGACGTCTCCCCCAGAGAGAGATAGCTGGCTAGCGTCTCTTCCACAGGGGGCATCATCCCATAGCCGCTTTCGCGCATTCACCCGATGTTCGCATAACTCGCATGCTGAAACCG